ACTCACACTCAATCATAGCCATCGATATCCTCATCTACGGCTCCATATCCGGCGGCCCTCTCAACCGCCTAACCTCCAAGGTTAACCGCCTAACCGCTGTGCACGCACGCCGGCGCTCACTAGTTCAAACCCTAACTCGGTCCGAACCCTAATCACGGAGTAATCCGGCTGACCATAATCACCGGATTCTAACAGGCACAAGGAGCGGCTCGGTTGAGGGTGCGCAACACTGACCGGAGAGTGTCTGGTCACTCTGCAAAACGTGATGTACAGCGTCCTTGGGGTTGCGACAAACCTGATTTCGGTGAGCGAGGCAACCGAGGTCGCATTTGTGTTACGGTGTTGTTCAAGAAGAACGGAAACTGTGATCTTGAGGTTGACAGGAAAGTAGTCCTTGTAGCTCGGAAAGTAAAGGGAGTCTATGAAGTCGACTGCGCGGAGAACGCACGATCTCCAAAAGTGGTTCAAAAGGGGCCGCTTTCGGAAATGGAGCGGGAGGACGCCGCGCCGGGGGAGGACGCGCGTTTTTTTCGTGAGCAAGCCGGTAACGGCCGAGCTGCACGGCACCGACGGATGGGGCACGCCGGGTTTGAGATCTTGGCGAAGATGGTGCAAGACAATTTCGTTGAGGGTGTCGGCATGAAACCGGGAGGAGAAGGTCCGGGCCATGCTCGAGGATTCGGGGCTGCCCAAAGAGATGTGGGCGGAGGCCATCGTGACGGCCGACTACACCCGGAACCAAGCCCCAATGAGCGCACACGGAAGGACCCCGTGAAAGGCGTTATACGGGCAAAAAGCCCCATGTGGGGCACATGAGGGTGTTTGGGGCGCGAGCCTACATACACATTCCAAAGCAGAGGCGCTGGAACTTGGATCCGGTAAGCGAGCGGTGTGTGTTCTTGGAATATGAGCCGGACTCCCAGGCGTATCGGGTGCTCCGGAAGAGCGATGAGAGGATCATGTCGGGACGTCGTTCCGACGAGGGCGAGAGGGATAACCGGGGTTTTGAGCTGAGCTCCGATTCCATGGAGGGTTACCCTGAGAAGGCCGGCGAGCGCGACACCGCACCCGCGCGGCAACCGTGGCCGCGCCGCACGCACGGTTTTCAAAACCGACCAAAGTGGGCAAGTTTTGAACACGGCGCGAGAAAGGAGAGCAGAGCCGGAAGAGGTTGCGAAGGACATAAGAGTGCCAATATCGGCTGCTCAGGGGTACCCCGCACGTGAGAGACACGCGCTAGGGGAGTGGTACTGCGCCAACTTGGCGGCGGACTCCGAAGCGGGGAAGCACCCCAAAGCACCCAGAACCGCAGAGCTATCAGGAAGCTGTTATGGGAAAAGAGAGTGACCTCTGGCGGGAGTCCATGGACGAGGAGATGCTTTCCTTGTTGGAACATGTGACGTGGGAAATCGTCAAAAAACCGGAAGGAGTCAAGCCGTTTCTCATAAAGTGGGTTGACAAGATTCAACGGGACGCTCACGGGAACGTGGAGCGGTACAAGTCCCGGCTGGTGGCGAAAGGCTACCTGCATACACAGAGGATTGACTTCGACGAGGTCTACGCCCCGGTGAGCAAGCAGACGAAGTTGCGTGCGCTGCTGGCGGTGGTTGCGGAGCGCGACTTGGAGTTGCATCAGCTGGACGTCAAGACGGCGTTCCTTAACGGGGAGCTAGAGAAGGAGATCTACATGCAGAAACCGCAGGGATACGAGCAAGGTGGGGCCGAGATGGTTTGCCGCCTTAAGCGCACCTTGTACGACTTGCGCCAGACGCCGCGTGCGTGGCACATGTGTTGTGAGTGACGGAGTTGATTGACGCCAAATTGTTGAGTTAGGCGCAATAATTTGAGCCGTAGAGTTGTGGGGTTTGTCGTGTAACATCGACCGTAGGACTATGGTTTGTGTCGTGTAATATCGACCGTAGAATTAGAGGTTCGTGTCGTTGAATATCGACCGTCGGATTGCGTGGTAAATCGGATTGTGGATCGTTAGAAGTGAGTCGACTCGAGTAGTATAATACCCCGACCACTAGTAGAACGGTACTATCGACCACTAGTAGTAAAGTGCCCCTGTGACAAGTCCGAAAAAAATACAGGCCGTATTGTCATTGTCATTATTGTCATTATTGTCATAGTGACGGGTTGATGGAAAGGAGTCCATATAGTTGAACCAACCAGTGGGTGGTGAAAATGGACCCGACCTAGGCTAGAGTACATCTAGCTACGGAATTATGACTTTGAGCTAATGGCATGTAATAATATTCATTTTAAGAGATGCTTGAAGAGAGGAAGACGCTTCTTTGTGAAAGTGCTTACGTGTGGGGGTGTTTAGACCCTAGCTTGTGACAAGCATCAAAATGATTAACAGGTTGTGAGCCCACACGACGCTCCGTCATGCCCTTTAGACCCCTCCAAGTTATAATCACGCTTGAACAAGCTTTTGAAGTGGCAGACCGCTAGGATCTTGCAACGGCGTATGCAGACGGCTGCAAGGGTAACATCAAGGAGGAAAACGACTCACATGGAGTAAGTGAGGCTGATGCAAACTTGGCATGCCGTGATGTTTCGTTGCCGTAAGGGCTCGGCCCTATGCTGATTTATTCCCAGCACCTAGAACTTTCAAGCTTGCCGCTCTAGGGTGATCCCCCTGAGCCTGAGCTTCAGAACATTTCATATCTATTGACAGGCGTGCGCTTGATATTTGCGCGCGGCCGTTACGATCATATTTCAACCGTGTGACCACATGTTTCGGAGGTTAATAACGGCGTCCAGCCATGGTGGTTATGGCGACATCGACTCCACGCGACTTGTAGACTTTCTAGGCTTGCTGTAGTCTGAAACTATCAGTGTAACACTTCACGCGACACCCTAGACTGTAGCAACTTAAGTAGCTTCGAGTCTGAACTCGACTCAGATATTTCGACGACAGCGAGTATAACCTAGGCACTTTTGATTCTTTCGCCAACTTTGTGCGAGTTGTGTTTTGGAGACTCCCTTGTGATAGTCAGGCTGGACGCCCTGCATCCTCTCACCTGCATGACTTAGCATCTTCAAGCGCATTGACGCTTCCACCCTCCACATTTGCCTGCTGTTTGCCACCCGCTGTGCCGAGTGCCTCGTTGGTACGTACTCGCACAACGTTCCACAGGGTCCTGACAGGCATTTCATTGGGAGAAGTGAGTAGCATCATCAAGCCAAGTATGCTCCCCTCGTTCGAGGGAGCCATCAACGCTGCAGCCACCACGGGCTGCATACTGAGTTGTTGCGGATCCAGTAACGGACCGCTCCCGAGGATAGCAAGCACGCAAGTACCACAAGCATTCAACAAGGTCGAGTATCTTGTAGTTTGGCTTCGTTTGTGTATGTGTTAGCATTTCCACGACGACTTTATCTTTCTTGTGACTAGGTAAGACTCATTTTTGCACTTTAGGCGTGTCATTCATGTGTATGCCATATCCCGGTGCGTAGTAGGCGTTGGCGCTGCGGCATCTGCAGGTGTACAATAGGGCGCATGGGCGCATAGGTTTATTGCATTGTATCACCTAGGGTTTGCCTACGTAACTTCACTTGGAAAATTTTATATTGAGAGGTTGTGTGACCTTCGTCAACAGCTAGCCCTTCTAGGGTATTGTGTGATCTTCCTTGTTGCTTCCTATGGGAAGAAACACTAGGAGAAGTTGAGAATCTGCGAGTTACATAGGCTATCGCCGTTGCTATCGCAGAAATCAGATCTGAAACAGGGTTAGAAAACAGGTTATATCTTAATCTTCGGTTTGTCGTTTTGAGTGGAGAAGCAAAGACTAGGTAGCTCTTGATTTCTGGGTCACACACATATGCCTCGGGTTTTTGCTTTTACGCCCTCGTGTGACTGCTTTTCTGCTAGGGTCTCCAGCCTTGCTAATATCTGCATTCCTGACACTGCACATTGATTGCTAGCATTTGGAGTTTGTACTATATCACAGTGTCAGACTGGGTAGCACACTCCCATAAAGATAATCACATTCATCAAACCCTCTCCTTTCCTCGTTTCTTTTGAACTGGAGTGTTGAACACATGTACACCCCTGGCGCAAGGCGTGACTGACAATTTTCATTTATTACTTGCGAGCGCACCCGTTTACGACTTGACGACTAAGTATTGAAAATGTCGCTCTGTGATTTAGATGCCGAAGCTTTCTGACGAAGACAACTCTGCCGACATCGACGCGGCCAAGCGCGAGTGCAAAGAATCCCGTGCCACCCGTGACAACCGCCGGTGTGCCAACTTTGGCCCACCCGACAAGGACATCAACGTGGACGAGTACGCGGACGCCCCGCCGCCACGTGTTCAACTCCTCGCCGACCGCTTGGGACCCCTTGCTGACGCCGCCTTTGTCGCTGCTGCGTCTGCTGCCACCAGCCTGCGAAAAGTCCCCGCCAGCTCCGTCGCGAGCACCAGCGCGCCTCTAAGCAGCGCCAGACGGACCAGCGCGCCCGCAACCGTGACGCTGTCCGCCATAAGGCGTAGCTTCACGCGCGCGCCAGCCCTGGCCCTCATTCGACTAAGGGCGGAGCCATCGTCCACTCTACCAGAGGGCCTACGCCGCCCTAGCGCCACTTCGGCTTTGGCATTGGCGCCGCCCACTTGGCCCAGCTGCACGAGTTCCTCGACGTTGGTGACAGATTTGGTGCTACGCCTGCAGCAGTTCGGTACCTTCTGGTGGGCATTGACTCACTTTCTTATGTGAGTATTGTCTAACGCATTTACAATTGTGCGGGTGCACATATTGACTTTGGCTGACCTTGCCTCTTGTGCTGTCGTTGCACTATGCGCTGTCATTTGTTGCACTGCACCTTGTCAGCACGTTGCTAGCTTGAGAGTTGCTGCAATCATTGCCTCTTGCGCATGTCTGAGCTTGGTCTGTGACTCGAAGGTAAACGATCCGGAATTCGGTTAGGCTGCACGCGGAGAGCAATATATGCTTGCTAGTTCGCACCTCCTTAGCCGCATCAATTCCCACTCGTTTGCAGAGGAGCGAGGTCTGAGGATGTCCTCCTAAAAGGCTAGCGAGTTTGCGTGCGGAGAGTGTCTCGTCTCAACCCACCATTGCTTGTGATAGGACGATCGTGAGCTGCTTAGCTGCAAGCCAATCGTCAGAGTCCACAAAGTCGCACTCATACAGTGAAGCTTTCTGCAGAGCTTGTCGGAAGCTTCCTCTGAGTAGTGACGCCCGCCGATGCCATTCAACTGGCGACCAGTGGTCCGAACTTGGAAAGCCAGGGGTCCTCCAGCATAGCATTGTTGAAGTAGCTTGCAACCCCGCCCCTAACTCCGTCCGGTTGCTTGATGGAGAAGTGGTCGGGGCATTTTGGCAAGATTCGTTTGCAGGATAAGGTCCATTTAGAGACCACCACATGTCGTAGGTCGGAACTTTGGTGTTAGGGGCGGCTCGGCCCTCAACTTTGTAGGCCGAGAGCTGAGTAGCTACCGGCTAGAACACCGGGCACTATTGCAAGACTATATGCAAGTTAATTTAACTGCATGGTCCAAGGTGCACCGCGCTGTTTCGACCGGCCTGACAGTGTTGCCAAGTTCAGCAGATTCGACTGGAGAATGGTGATACCCAAGTAGCATCAACGCCGAGTTTAAAATGGTGGTATCCTCTTCAAGCTAGGGCGCAAATATTAGCACAGTCGCGTGCAACCGAAACTGGAACCTACAGTGACCGTGAAAGGCTTGTACGAAATATTCGGTCGACCGTAAGAGCATGTAGAATTTTCTGACATGAATGTACAAGTGGGCGAGTTCGCCGCCGGCGCGTGTCCAATATGTACTATTCATGCGTGCGGCGGACCGGCGATTCGGTTCGGTATATAGAATTTAGTACGGTGGAGTTAAGTCAATACGAATGCCAGTGGGGCGCAATTGACACCATCGAACCTCCACCATTTGGCTGAGGTTTTGCGCACTGTCGATACGAATATCCACGGTCAATACCACCTTACCGTGCAAACGAATCGACTTTCCAATCTGAGAGTGATAGCTTCTGCGGCCTCCGAGTTAGGAGCGGTGTCGCGACGTTCTTCAGCAACACTATGCAGGTTCCGAACTATGCTGTACAACCAGATCAAGTTGACACTGCGGTACGCAAGTAGGCCCTCTACGCAAGAATTCCGACTTGGATACTTTCTGCGACCTTAGTTCATAGTTGGTTGCTACCAACTCAGGACTTCGAACCTTAAGAAGTAACTGACACGAAGTTCTAAAGTTGATTGGTTCTCTGCGGAGTAATCAACTTCGGGCAAGTGCTCCGTAGCGACTTTGTCTAATAGCTTGGGTCTTTTGGAGAGCCTGATCACGGTTTCAAGTTTACACTTACAACACAAGCTACCTACGGTGGGTATCGGCCGACTCGATGCCGACTTGGACAGTCACAACTCCGTCGGATCTCGACACAGATTTTGTAAGTGGTACCGACGGTGCACGATACGATCACTGAGGTACTAGAAACGCGTACGGTATAGGTATCCATAGAATCTGGATCGATCGTAAGTTGGTGTGTTATAATCGTCAGACAGTGGCAGAATTTACACTTACGAAGGGACTTCAAAATGGTGCTTAGATATGGAGCTTGTGCAGCTTATGAAAATTGATGGCGGACACACAGCCACCCTAAAAGAACCTCATTAGATGTCTGTTGAGATACGGGCATTTAGGGACCGAATCTCTGGGT